ACCAAAACAAATAAGTTTGTTTGATCCACACATATTATTTGATCCACACATATAATTTCAAAAACTGCTTAGAGGCAATGCTAGATATGGGGCCTAAAGATATGGTAGCAAAGTATTTAACACATAAGCAAGAAGATATATTGTATAAGGGTTTATGGTAGAATTTAGACTACCTTGCAGGAAATAGGAAGAAGCCAGAGTAACATAAAGGGAAAGTCCTGAAGAAGACAAATTTCAAATAAGGATGCATGAGTGCTACCTGTCTTTCTTGTCCATTGGTACCCAGAAGCCTCCAACTCTTGCAAATATTCAGGCTGCACCAGGTCCATGCCATCACCTCCAGTAAGGTTAAAAGGCATGTGAAATCACAGTTCCTAGTCATAAAGCAGGTTCAAGATAAAATTGTTCAAACAATAAATTTAGTCTGAAAATATGATGGTGAAAAATACTGTCCTAGTCATTGCTCTATTGCTGTGAAAAGACACCATGGCCAAGGCAACTCTTTAAAAAGCAAACATTTCATTGTGGGCTTGTTTACAGTTTCAGAGGGTTAGTCCAATATCATCATGGTAGGTAGCATAGCAGCAGACATGGAAGGCATGATGCTGGAAAAGTAGCTGAGAGCTACATCCTGATCCTCAGGCAGAGGAGCAGAGAGACTGAGCCTACCATGGGCTTTTTGAAAGCTCAATTCCCACTCCCCTCCCCCATGACACACTTTCTCCAACAAGGCCACATTTCACAATCTTTCTAATTCTATCAAAGAGTTCTACTCCCTAGTGACTAAGCCTTCAAATATATGAGTCTCTGAGGTCCATTCTTATCCAAACCACCAAAACTATGGATATTAATGTTTCTGACAATTGTCTTTCCTGGAATGAAGATATTTGAGAATTTTAACAATGATGGTGTCTACATGACTTGTTCTTTATTTGGAATATGAAACTCAGAGCATTATTTTCTGCTCATAGTTTACTGCCTTCCTCCATAAACATGTATTGATAATCTATGTGAGGAATGTGTAAAGGTGTGAGGACAGAGCTAAGAGGTGTCTCTTACCCTAAGAATATAATAATATGCCAGTTGAGTGTGGCAGCACACACATTTCATCCTAGCACTCCACAAGCTGAGGCACTTGGATCTCTAAGGTCAGCCTGGTCTACATAATGAGATGCAGGCCAGCCAAGGCTATGCAGTAAGACCCTGTCTCAAAAGAAAAAAATCTCGAAAATCTATCATAACCTAGAAAGGGTTAAGACATTAGATACAATAAAAATAACTATCATATATAAAGTCGGAGATGAGAATGAGTCTCATGAGAGCAACGAGCACAGTCAGAGCGGTATTAACCCTTCCTTCTCTGAATAAGGGGAGCATTCAGGCTTGTTTGAAAGAGAAAGTAACTGACAACTAAGAAAACTGGGAAAGGAAACCACACAGAGGCAAGTCAGATGCAAAAGCATCAGGAGTATATGGTCTTTCTGGAGACATGCAAGTAACTGAGCATGGCTGGAGCCATTTAGATGTAGTGTATGCGTGTGCGCATACACGTGCACATGTGTACACACACACACACACGATGATGGTAAGGGAACAATAAGATAAGGGATATGCAGACAAGAAGTGAATAAAATCATTGCTCCCACAAAGAAGTACAGAAGGACAGGCTCTAGGTATTCCTGGTAAGGTCTTCCCAGTTGTCAGTTGGATGATAGAACAGAGCACTGAGAATTTAGACTGGAGATAATGGCCCCATGTGAAAACAAAATAATCCAGGTGAGAAGGATACCCATATTCACTTAAATGAGTATCCATTATAACATACAAGAGACAAGAAAGGCAAACCCCCCCCCATAATGATTTCCCTGAAGAGACAGGGAGGGAGAAGATAGGAGCTGTTATGACCTCCCACCCTCCTAGGATAAGGTGGATTAAAAAGCATTCCAATCAGACTCCAACATCTGTAGTTCATGTCTTTGCCTGCATGGTCTACTTGACACAGGCAACATCATCAAGATGCAGAACGGAGCCGTTTTCCTACAGTCAATGAAAGCAAGTCTGGAAATGAACACATAAATAATTAAAGAAAAATAAAGCAACAGCAAAAAGCAGGTTGGTAGGCAGGTGGAGAAGTCAATAATAACATCCACGTTTCTATCTAGAGTAGTGGTTCTCAGCACCCCTAATGCTGCGACCCTTTAATACAGTTCCTCATGTTGCAGTGACCCTCAACCATAAAATTATTTTCATTGCCATTTTATAACTATAATTATGCTACTGTTATGAATTGTAATGTAAATGTCTGTATTTTCCAGTGGTCCAAGGTGACCCTGTGAAAGGGTTGTCTGGCTCCCAAAGGGGTCGTGACCCACAGGCTGAGAAGGGCTGAGCAAGTGAGTAGATGAGACACACACAGAAAGAGATAGGTTAGACGAACTCTACAGAACAGGACTCACATGGAGGTAAGGGTGGCAAAAGGCAGTGAGGTGATGTGACTTAGGGTTAGGATACTCCTGGGATCGCCAAAGGGCAGAAGATGGTGGGAATTGGACACGTGGTTTAGAAGTTCCTAAGGATCTTGTCTGAGACCAGAACTAAAATTGAAGCCAATGATAGTCTGAAGTCAGGTAGACGGGTGCGCAAATGAGATGATAGGAGGGCATTTAAAGTAATACAAAACGTGACTTTTTTAAGGAAAAAATGTTCTCAAATAACAGAAACCACAGAAGTAGAATCACAACAAACAAGTATCTTAGAAAACTGTATCCTTTTCCTCTTCTGGATGGATTAGCTTTTAATTGTCTGGAAAGATCAGGTTTATAAAAGGAAATTTGTTACTATGGAAACAGGCTTTCAATATCAAACAGGCAGTTTGACCACAAAAAGGTAATTACTTTAGTTTTCCCCTTAATTGCATGATTTCTTGCTTTTCAGTAAATATATATATGTGTATATATACATATATATATACACATATATATATATATATATATCCTATTGGACAGAACTGTCCAGTCAACCAGGGCTGTGGTGAGCCAAAGCATAAACATAGGTCTCCAGCCAATCTCCTAGCTGGTGACCACTGGGTACCCCAGACCCAGACATTCTGAGGTTTTACTACTTTGTACACTATCAGCGTGTGAAACTCTCCAAATTCAAATAACCATCCCACCTTTTCTCCCATGAGCAAATCCCCTTAATCAGGCATCTCATGTTCCCTGTTAGTCTATTCAAGGGTACAGTTTGAGTATTCAGCTCCATTAAAAGAGTAACTATACAGGATTTAAAGAAATATCAAAATGTTAAAACTTTATGAAAGTTCTTATGGTATCAGTCTCTCCTTTGGATCATAATTCCACATTGTTAAACTCAGGACACACTCGTGTTTAAATAAGTTCACTAACCTTATCCAGAAAACGTTGTATAGCTGCTTCCTGGCGCTCCATATTGGCAATATATCTATGTCTCCCGATGGAAGAAATGATCTGTGTCTCTTTTTCCAAAAGCTCGCACAGGGCAGCTTTCCTCTCGGCTTGACTCGAATACTGGTCAATTTGTGTAATTTCTTCTTGCCGCCAAACTAGAGGATGGGCGTAAAAGGCTCATGAGTTGTCAAAATCCATGGCTTTTTTAAAAATAGATTTTTTTTTAATTTTTTAATTATATTAATTTAACTAATTATATTAATATTTTTAATTTTTAATTATGGCTGTGGGGAGGTGTGCACATGAGTATAGATGCTCTTGGAGGGCAGAGGTGTCGGATCTTTCTGGAGCTGGAGCTACAGGTGATTGTGAGATTGTGAGCCACCTTCTGTGATTGCTGGAAATCAAACTCAGGCGCCAGCTCTCCAACACTCAAGCTAAAATAATTTTGTAAAACTCGTAATTCAAAAGCACTAAGTGTTCTTAACAGTTTTGGGTCCTCCACTACTTATCCTCATTCATTTACTCTTTCAGCTTCTACGAGTCTGAAGACTTTCTTTGATTTTCTCTGTTCTTTTCCCCCTTTCTCTATCACTTCTTACTCCATCTTAGGGTCTGCTTCTCTAAGAACCCAAAATAGTAGTTTACATTAGTTATCACATTCATTGTATCACAAATTTTAGATTAACTGCATTATGCTATAATAACCCTTAATGTATTTTAAAGCACTGGTCACTATAAGTAAAGATGATGTTGCATAAATGTATTCTAAGACCATATCATAAAGCTCCAAAGAGCAATGACTTAGTAAGCCCATTCTGTCTAAATATAGACCTACATCATCACATATGAATTTATATGTCATATGTCAAACTTAAATCAAAGTTTCTAGACTCACATATGTTTTTAATAAAGGTTCTATTTAAATCCTTATGGAAACCAAATTTGGGGAAGAAAATTCTTTTTCACTTCACATTTCAAAACTGTCAAGCTTATACTGGCAGAAGCATAGGATAGGAAATGACCTTAGAAATTAAATTGCTCAATCCTACATCCAAGCACGTATCTTCCTTTCAGTCGCTTGGACAGGAATAATTTGCCTGACACAGAACCAATTTCTTGAGCTACATGCCATCCCTTTGGGCAGCTGAAGGTAGTGTCTCATGTCTCTCTTACATTTTCCCTTCTCAAGACATAAACACTTCCATTTTTAAATTGTACATTATATGACACAATTTCCTCTCACATCCAGGTCAACCTTTTCCTGTTTCCTAACACACCACTCGAAGTGTGCTGTCAAATTCTGTCAAAATAGAGGCTTCCACACAACACACCCCACACTCTCCTGATTGAAGTGACAAAAATACAAAGGAGGGAGAGGGAGAGAGATAGAAGGCAGCAATGGAAATAAGAAAAGAATTTGATATGCCAATAGCATGCAGAACTCCCAGGAAACATAATGAAGATTTGTTTGGGTGGATAAATTTGTAGATGAATTTCTAAACAGTCTTAGTAAATAAGAAACACAGAGCCAAATACAGAGGTAATAGCCAAAGAGATCAGAGAAATAGCGAATAGCCATGACTAGCCTTATCTTATCACCACACAGTAGCTTCCACAGAGAGAGCTTCTTCCTGCTTAACCTGTGCTTTCATTGCCTTCCTGTTCTGCCTTCTCATTGGCTCTAAGCCCAGCCACATGACTTCCTCATCACTGCCTGTCTATACAGACCTCCAGGTCTCTATGGTTGGTACTGGGACTAAAGGCTCGTGTCACCACGCTTGGCTGTGTCCTTGACCACACAGAGACTCTGTCTGCCGTATGATCAGATTAAGGGCATGGGCTACTACCACCTGACTATTGTTTATGGTTTGCCGACCTCTGATCTCCAGGCAAACTTTATTGATTAACGTACAAATAAAATATCACATTTGAGCACAAATAAAGTATCACCACATAAATTAAAAATAAATCATCCCCAAAATATGCAAACACCGTTTCCTCAAACTACTTCAGTGTCATCTCAGAAAGTGGGTCTCATAGAAGAAGGTGGTAAATCTCAATTTGCTTGATTGGGAGCTAGAAAAGGGTAGACTTTGAAGCCAGTTGATTACCATGCCTTGAGAAAGTCTCTGAAATGTCTAAAGAGAATGTCTAATGTTTTAAATCACAGCTGAAAACAGTGGTAACTGTGCTGGTTTGTAGAGAAAAGGAATTTTTGAAACAAACTATAAAGAAAGGGGATAAAGCAATGGGTAATAAGCTATGTTTAAAATATGAGATAATTTTGCTTACATATTATCGTGTAACTATATTACATATTAATAATTTACATATTAATGTTGTAGTTTAAATAAAATAACTTTGAAGATTTCTAGTAATTATTTTTACTTATGTGCATGTCTGTCTGTCTGTCTTGCATGTATGCCGCAAGTGTCCAATGAGGCCAGAAGAGGGCGACAGATCCCTACAGCTGGAGTGACAGATGGTTGTGGGACAAACACCGTAAGTGCTGAGAGCCAAACTCGAGTCCTCTGGGAAAGCAGCAAACACCCTTCACCAACACCAGATATAGAGGGATTTTGTGTGATTGCAAGGGCATGATATTCTCGGGAGGCATGTTTGAAACAGAGTGACACCAAAATTGAAATGGCAAGTTAGCCAAGATGAGCAAAACGAAAGCAGAATTTGTATCATTCCTACAAGAAACGTGACGGAAGAACTCAAAACTCAGTTCCTGACGTGAAAGATCCAGTTAATGACCTGACTATGGTGGATGCTGACACCAGAAATCATGTGATCATGTTTCATCCATCCACATGCGAACACAGCTGCCGTAGGTGCATGTTACATTGCAGAAAGCAGGTCAAAGGGCAAATGGGTTTGTTTATCAGCACCCGGCACTAGGAGCCTGCTGAATCTCCCAGCAATCCAACGAAGCAGGAGCTGCCATCTCTTGTGAAAAGGGAACTAAAGGAAAGAGTGCTGGACACCCGCCCAAGGACACACAGCCTACGGAGTGGTGGTGCTGGGACCCAAGCTCAGGCAGTCCAGTTGTGTGGAATACACTCTTCCCTCAGAAGCGGAAACCATGCTATCCTTTCTTTTGAACATGGGACTTCTCTCAAAAGCCTTCTCTCTTGTATGGTTATTGCACCTGCCAATGTCCTGTCACTTCTTTATCATTAAAAACACTCACCAATGTTATAATGAAAAAGGGGCTCTGTAAGATGCTAGGATATACAAAGTGAGACAGCCTTACTTTCTTCTTCAAGGGATTAACACGTTTCCTAGCCTTTCTCTAATTGGATAAGTGGTAAGGAAAAAAAATCTAAAAAAAAAATAAAATAAAATAAAAAAATAAAAAACCCTCAGAGTTTCTGTTTCTCTTTCCATTTGCCATCATTCAATGCCCAGCATTTTCCACCACTGGGTTTTAAGACTTTGTTTGAATAGATGCATCTTGACATGAGAGTCTATGTCTTGTTCTATAGACATGATTCAAGCATATGTACTCCCCTACTGTGGTTGGTGCTATGGGCATAGTTACTTTCTTACTGGGATGCAGGAATATTTCAAAATTATTTCACTTATATGAACTTATATAGTTAGAAACTGTTTGCTTTCTATTTCAGATTTACATTAATAGTCACTAGGAATTATAAAATGAATATCTAATGTCTGAGTGTGGGTTTGGGCCTTCCATTTATAGACACTACCTTTTATAATATTACGTTTTGCAATTTTATCGGGATATTTCTTTGTCCTCTCATATTTTAAGTTAAAACCATCCAGATCAGCTAGTCCTGTTCTTCGTTAGAATCCACTCTGTCCTTTATTAGGAATACATTATTCAAACACTGTCCAGCTTGATCTATCCATCAAGAGGATTCTGAAATGCAAAAGCTAAATTATCTTCAGCAAAAATTGTAAAATTTGAGAGCTAAATTATATTATGGAAATCTATGATTGATGAGTGTGTTATTTAAAAGTAGCTTTACCAACCAGAATAAGAAAAATGACAAACCCCATATAACAAAAGGCAGTTGATGAATAAAGGGAAATTGTTTGCTTGTAGAAATAATAACTGAGAATATTTATCTCACAGGATTACAAAGTTGCTCCCAAAAAGCAAATAAAAGCTGATTGATATCAATGAGCTTATTTTATTTCCCAGCTTTATATCAGAAACATCCAGAGCCTAAAGTAAGTTTAGGCTATGAGGTTATTACCCAAACTAATCTGGAAATTTCAGAGAGGGGTGTATTATTCTCCTGTATCAATAATTAAGCATTGTTGAAATCTGGAAATATGCATGTATATTCAAACACACATGTAGACCCAAGTTTCACATTTTTGTCAGCTTATTGCTATGACATTTAAAAAGAAAGTACCCTACAGAGCTAATTAAAAACAAAACCCAATGAATCTTCATTTTAATTTAAAAACAAAAACAAAAAAAAAAAACCTCTCTGTTAGATGAAGATAGCAAATCTGGATTAAGGGATAAAATACATCAGTATATTGTCCCAACCACCAAAGAGGAGTAGAAAGTCACAGGGCAGAGACATCTGAACTATTCAAGGGGGTGTGGTGTACAGAAACCAGGAGGGAGTCCTCCCCTTTTGTGTGATATGTGTCCCTGGAGATGACAATGAAAACAGTCAGGAGCACTGAGATGTTGTGCTAGTTTTCTAGGGCTGCTGTGACGAATACTTGCAGAGCTTGCTGCATTAAGCAACAAAATCTCATTTCCTGACAGTTCTGGAGGCCCCATCGAAGAGTAAAACACTGTCTGGGTTGTTTGTTCCTGCACCTCTCTTCTCATGGTCATTTTCCCCTAGTGCTCTGCCCAATACTCCACCTATGTACAATCAAATGTTTGTATAGGGACACCAGTCCTTACCGTGTTAAGGCATGCTCACATGCCTATTGATTTTTCTTTATTACCTATTTTAAAAAAAAACATATTACCAAATATGATCATCTAGAGGTACAAAGAATTCAAATGTCAACATAAGAATTTGGGGGGAACACAATTTCAATCAATGAAGAAGCCAGTAACTACAAATAATTTTGAGGCAAAATATATCGAAAAATGGTTAATTGGAGATAATAAAGTTAATTTGTCCCCTAAACTTATATTCTTAGACAA